TATTTCAAAAAACCTGTTTCTAAATCCCAAGTTAGGCTGCAAAAGAAAATTAATTTAAATATCTTAATCATTACTGCTGCATCACTCCCTGAGGAGAAGCTGCCACATTCCAGTGCAGCTGGAATTCAAGTGGCGGCCCCAATGGAGGGGTTATTGCAGGTCACAACACAGAGTCACTGGAAAAACAAAGAAAAACCCATGAATCCTCCTGGGCTCAACTTTCTTTTTACTCTGGTATTGGTGATGTTTTAGCAAATGACCTTGTCACTATATTTTATATAATATCTCTGTTATTGTCCACCTCTCACTAGTACCATATTTTTTTAAATAATTTTTTTTTCCAGCAGTTTTACTTAAAACTGAGAATAGAAAAAGAAAGGAGGGCTTGAATTGATACTTCACCTGTAACATCAAGCAAGAAATAAAATATTCCCAAACAACCTTTTCATATAATGCAGTAGAAAGCAAGCACAGATAAATCTTAGGTCACTAATTTTTTATAGTCTCTGAGCTTTGGGTACTGACCCAACACACCTCTCGAATAGCAAGCCATGAGTGCTAGGTCCCTCTGGCTTGGAGTGACTTCAACTGGTGCAGGGTGCTCAGCACTTCCCATGACTAAAAGTTAGGTTATGGACCTCCTGTTGGAATATACATTTCAAGTCAATATCCATCCAAACTGCTTATCCCTGAAATGCCAGATGCAAATAAAAAGATGTGTGGCTTCAGGAATGTTGTAAATCTTTGTTAGCAACAGTAACCCTTCCTTAAGGGTGCTAGCAAAAGCTTTTTTATAGCAGCAAGAGATTCAAGATAAGAAAATAAAACAAGAAAATTAGGAATTATTTTGTGTTTTTCTTAATGTTCTCTAGATATTATACATACAAGCTTTAAACAGAATTTAGATTTCTTCAAAAACAGCCCAAGCACTTGAAACACTGTTTTTGAGAAGGTCTCTATAAAACACAAGTTCCATGTGAAAATAACTGGACTGTGGAAAGATTAAAGCCAGCAGACAGTTCTGAATGAATATCATACAGGCACAGAAAATACTCTTAAAAACACTTGTCAGTATTGCTTTAATTACATTTATGCTAAAAAAATTATGACAGAGGCTTAATATTTTTATGGTAAGAAATACATGCAGGTGAGATTTGAAAAGTTCCATGGAAATGTGCTTACAGCAATCCTATGCAGAATATCCACTATGCAAAGGTTTTTTATTGCTGTTGGAGAACAAGTAAAAATATCAGAAAGTAAAAAAAGAAATAGCAAAGACTTGTTGCAAATATAATGTTCCATTCAGATTTTTAACTGAAAGCAAATTGATTACATACTGATGTCTGTTGTATCCACACAATTACAGCTTCCTCAGAAGTGTGCATCCAATCCTACTGGCAACTCTGTAAATTGGATTAAAATCTGGGCCAATATGTGCATTATTTAAACACTCATATTAGATGAAGTAAACCCTATGCAAGAACAGCCCATGTATAGTTAAGGTACTATCCATACATCTTTTTGTGTTAAATGACTATAGGTATAGGATGTTAATGTTAAATGACTATAGGTATAGGATCTGAGAAACAATTTGTTCCTTTAGGTCAAGAAGTCACACGAGAGCTTGTCAATGGGAAAATCTGTTGAGTCTTCTTTGCTAGAGTATCTCTCCCCACTCAAAAAAACTTTTAAAAATGAACCATGTTTTTTTAATAATGTTTTCTTATTCTGACATTGGAGCACATGAAATGGGAAACTGACCATCAGCTGAGTAAATAAGCCAAAAATCAGGAAAAAATACTAGTTAAAGACTAGACAATCAAAAACCTGTAATGAATTGTTCCTATGCTCTCAAACCCAAACCAGCTGCATTACCCTTCCCCCATCACTACACGGTTTCACAACCCAGGAGCTGCCAGGGCAAACTTCTGAATGCCTCCACTTTTACTCCCTCCAAGCCTTCACCAGGGGCTGCATCCTTCCTCATTTAATTGCATTTCTTAACTCAAAGACATGAATGTTTGCTGTGTGGTTAGCAGTTTTCCCAGACAAGAATCAGGCAGACCTGAGCAGACTAGTGCTGATGTTCTGATCCAGCAGAGCACTTGTGCAATTCCAGCCTTCAGGCAAACCAGGGGTCCAGCCAACAGACAGCCCCGGGGCAAAAAACTGAGTAATGGGATGCTTCACTGAGTCAGGACTCTGAGTCAGACAGGCTGCAGCTCCAGCAAACTGCAGTGAGATAACAGAAGACATGATTTAGCTAACTTTATGAAAAAGCTAGACTCTGTGTGTGTGTATGTGAAGAAAAATGAAATTATTATATATATTTCACACCCTCTCTAATAAAGCCCCATCAGTAAATACTAAAGTTTTGGTTGGCTTTTTGTTTTTGTTTTTATTTTTTTACAAACAAAGACATACATGTCTTATCAGACACACAGCTACACAATATCTGTGTACATTTCTTTACAAGACAGAGCACTCCCAGGAAATTTAATGAAATGCAAGAGTTTATTTTGAAACCAAAATGCAACAGTATATTACAATGAAAATAATAATTATCTCTAAAGAAAAAATCAACTCATGGAACATTTTCAATTATAATAATTTATTCCCATCAGGTTGCTTGATGTGATACTGTATCAGTGCAATATCACTGACAGAGGTTTGGCTACACTTCCAGAAAACAGTTGTGCAGAGAAGCATATAGTCACTCTCCCCTCAAATTTCAATGTTCATATGATCTGAAAAAGAGAAAAGGAAAAGGTGCTGAGCTGCTGTAAGGACAACATTATTTTCAAGAGCAAAATATAAAAATGGTTTGTTCTACTTAAAACGTAATATAGCCCCTCAAAATAGAGCTGGAAATAATAATTCACTGGCTCATGCAACTGTGAGAAATAACAGCCTTTTCATATCTGCACGTGGGCAAGTCTGGATTCTGTTAACCTCAGTAAACATCATCTATGTTTACAAACATATGAGCTGGGTATAGATTAGTTCTTCTTCCAAGAAGCAGGCATCACTTATCTTTGAAGGAACATGAGAGTTTCCTTCACATATATACATATATATGCATTATGCTAATAATTACGCTTTCCTGAAAATATATATAATTTAATGTATTACAGTAAATCTATATCACAGACTACAGTACCATAAGGAATGCAAAACTGAAATTGTGCTACACCAGTTTCACACTATTTTATTTGCTTAGCCAGCACTACAAAGAATTTAAACTGTATGTAGAGTGGCCAAAAAATTCAAACTACTTACAGAAGATTATGCATCCATATTTAAATGCCCATTAGAATAAAGACAATAACAAAATGCAACTATGCAAATATCTCTTACAAATTAAAATAACACCTGACACTTCTCATACCTTCATCTGCAGATGTATTTGCCTTAAACTGGATGGCACTTGAATCTCTATTTCTCAATACAATTAGCACATTTAATCATGTCTGAACTAACAAGCAAATTATCTACAGAATACGTTAAGCAAGTTTACAAATTCAATAAATAACACACCCTTTGGCCTATGTCCAGAACTAATTGCTTCAGACAGAACTGAGTCACCTTTGTAGGAAACAAATTAATTAGCTTCTTAGTAAAAAATGAAAAAAAAATCAGGGACTGAAAATTCAGAATATTTCCCCACTCAAAAAAAGAATTTGTATGCAAAAACATCATAAAACCAAGATGCTTATTAACCATACAGGTTTGAGCTCTACAGGATTAAACATTACTCATCATCTGTTACAGTCACTAGTGAAAACAGGTAATCAAAATACCCCATTACAGGATATTTCAGAGTATGACACACATGATTTTGACTCAAAGATATTTAAATTATTATGTGATAAATGTTAACACATTCACCTTGTAGGCTTCTACAATGAGATGTCCCATATGGAAATCCACTTAATATTGAAAATCTCCTTCCTCTCTTGTGCAATAAAATTACCTCACAGTGACTATATCTATAGTTACCTGCTCACTTCACTACCCAATGGTCACAGTGCATCGGGCTTTCCTTGATTAAACACATCCCTTCTTAGAACATATATATATATATATAAATATATATATATAATGGGATTACTCATATAAACAGATATATATATATATACATGTATACATATATATACATATCTGACCATGCTACATCTCTTCGGACTAAAGGAGAATTTTAACTCAAGTGAAGGCAGCAAGTCACTGAGTTTTCCTCACTGTTGGTTGCCAAAGAGGCCTGGTGGTGCAGTGTGTAATCATGTTACTTCTGCATGAGATCAGGCTGTCCCTGCAGAGGTGATCTCTGTGGTGCTCCCCATGGGCACCACTGCCACCCTGCTCTCCTCTGGGCAGAGCACTCTCTTCCCTTGCCTGCTCCTCTCATGCCTGCATCTACATGAAGAGCAAAGACAGCTTGTGAAGGTAGCTGATAAGTAACCTGCCAGGAAAAAAAGCCAAACCAAAACCACCCAACCTTTCCTACAGGTACTATTTCTATTTTCTTCATGTAGAAGTAGCACTTAAATCTCCTAAGGGGAAAGTAGTGCAGGTAAGTATGGATATCAACTTTGTCCAGCAGTGTAAAAGCAGCGATACCAAGACTTTCTGCATTCTGACAAGGCAGAATCACTTTGAAAAATATTAAAATTCCCATCATTGTAGAAAGATTAAGTACAAACAATCAAAGAAAGTGTTGTGATTATAATTATGAAATTAACATAGCAGGGGGATATTAGAATGCTCTTAATTACTGATATATGTGAAAAAACAGTTTCTCTAAATCCAGAACAGATAACCAGTATAACAAAGACCAATCAACAAACATAGCAAAATGTATTGATTTCTAGTAAGATGAGATTCTAGCACTAGAATCACAAATTTCATACTGTCAAAACTTTTATGAAAAAATTAAAGGTTTACCTGCGTAAAATCTGGCTTATTTGAACATTTGGCCTTCCAGGAAGAGAATTAGTCTTAGGTTAAAAATCTAAACATATATTTAGATTACAATATCACTATGTAATTACATATGAGTAAAGAACATAAAAAAACAAGAGACATTTCCACAATTGTTTTATAATACCAGACAGAGATTTTTTTTTTTCTGGTTAAAGTCTATTCTTTCTTTTACCAAAGTAAAAGTAATTGTTCAGTATTATTAATTTTGGTATCTTGTGTGTGTAAATTTGAACTCCCTAAAAGCAGTTTATTATTATCTTTCATATAGCCAGGTCATGTCTGTTTCTATATGACCAAGTTTACCTTACTAAAAACTTTCATGAACCACTTGGATTTTAGTGTGGATTTTTGTACCAGCTACTGGGAGAATATTTGCTCTCCACAGAACAATGAACATGACTTTCTACTATCAAAAAGGTAATCCATATGTGTTTTCAGCACTGTTTTCCAGCTGACAGAATTAATCAACATCAGTGATATATTTCATAAAACTCCTAGTCAATTATTTCAGGGTAAGAATTTTAATAAACATTCTGTTATTTTGTGTGTATTAGTTTTGGCACAGTTTTATGTTTTCTAAAAGAACATTCTTGTCCCACCGTAATAATCAGTGTGTATTGGTGCATACCTTTGGTGAGAACCTGCTTAGGTTTTTTCATTATAATCAAAAGCCTATTCTAAAGGGTTGTTAAGAGTCTCACCTCCTTTGGTTTGCAGTGGTATGCTGAGAATGTCAGCCTCTGTGCATGGCTCATTGTTCCTGCTGATGCAATATAATGGTTCACCCAAGAAAGAAGGTTTCTTCAATCTTTTTGTGTTGAGTGCTCTTGACATAAAGTAACCTTCAGTAATACTCTTATCTTCCATCTTCTGTAAACCTTCTAGGTCATCAGGTTCCTCTGTTTGGGCCAGTGAATCCTTTGATAAGTGACTACCAGCCAATGCTTTGCTGGTATAGTAGCCAGGGATTTTGCTCTCTGCATTAACACATAAGCTTTTGTCTCCCAGTCCAGCCTTTTCCTGAGCCATTAACATCCCTACAATATGGTCTTCAACTAACATTTTGGAAAGACTAGATGTGGAGTGAAGAGTGGAGTCTTGACTTGTGTAACAAGGGGGACTTAATCCAAAAGAAAGAGATTCCTGAGACTGTGGCATGGTAACGTTACTTATTGTTCTCTGAGGCTGCATACATTCTTCCAGAAGGGTCTTAAGCTGCTCTTCAGAGAGGCTCATTTGTTCTTCAGTCTGAAAAAAAAAAAGGCAAGAATTTCTTCTGTCAAAATATAATTAATGAAAAGCAGTGCCATAAAACAGCTTGAGAGATACACTGGCAGAATCCTTAAACAAATATCAATGTCTTTCAATTCAAACTGAATTTAAATATGCATTTCCATAATCACAAAATTTATGCAGCATCCTCACTAGGTTCTAGATAGATTCTGTGATGAAAGTTAGGAAAGAAGCCTGATGTCCACAAGGCACTGAGAGGCCTTTGATTTTGCATAGTCTTCCATGAGATCTGGTTTTTAACTACCAGAGCATGCACTTTTTCATGTTTATTGGTTTGCTATGAATACCTACAGACACACACACATAGACACTCTTTAAGATTTTAGTTACTGAAAGCAAAAAAGCACATTCATAACGGACTGTTGGGGCAATGCAGCTGGGGTTAGAAATGCTTTTGGACAGTACCAGCCCACAAAGACTGCCACATGCTGACTGAAATATTCCCAGCCTCTCACACTAGAAATGCCACATATTCTCTCTCTCAACCATGTGACACAAAGCACATCACTTACCTACCATGGCAAGCATGACCCATGGCAAGTGACAGAAGAAAGCTCTGTCTTCTGTAGGACAGTTTTAATGCTTCCTTCAAGCTGTCACTGCTTGCATAGATCCCACATGTATCGTTTCAGTTAATTTCCTATTCAGAGACTGGCACACTCCCATCATTTTTATCACACAGGGCATTTCTTAAAATTTGATATTAAAGATAATGACTGATATTAGTTGGTTATGGTGAAGAATAGCAAAGGCTATTTTGCTTAAAGAGGTTAGCAATAGGGAGTTACTTCCAGCTTTTACAATCCTTAATGCTCCTAAAAATAAAGTAGCACAATTTTCCCTGGAAATTTAAAGATTATAATGATAAGGACAGGACTATTTTTAGACATGTGTAATACATTTGCCCATGAAATAGGAGCTATAGAAGACATCATAATATATATCTAAAATGTTGGAAACACTATGCAACATTTAATAGAGAAAAATGCTTTCTGCAGTCAAAATCTCAGTTTTACACAACCTCCAAGACACAAAGGATCAGCTGACACATTAATGAATCCTTAGGCTACAGTGATTTATGTAAAACAAAAATTTTATTCATTGTGTAATGACTTCTACTGAGAATTTACTTTACATTATGCTAGAGGATGGAGCTGCTGTCATTTCAAAAGAGAGAACAATATCAGATGTTTAGCTGGTTTTTTTTCCCTGAAGGTCTCTGATCCAACTACAGGAGTCATACTATCCTGTTTGATATATATGACATGACTTGGCTACAGCCAAGGTACCACAGAGTGTGTGGATTTCACCTCAAAACATTACTCATGTTCATCAGTGGGGACAGTTTCCAGTCAGGAAGGAAAGAATATTTCTTTGAAAAACTTGTGGCTATTAAAATTACAAGATGACACTAAAAAGTGAACAAGAATGACATTTTTAGTTACCTTCAGTCACCATTCTGTACTTACATATTCAAACATTATTAATAGCTAATAATCACTGCTACAGACAAAATCCTGTACAGTTCAGGCACTAACTGATATGCATAAGCTCAGCTCTATAGAGTTATTTAACCCAATAGTCTTTTCCTGCAGATATCAATTTCCTTCCCAAAGATACTCCAAGTTTCTTTCTTGCACATAAAACTGCAACTGCATTAAAGAAATCAAGATGTTAAGGGCTATTATGGATAGAGATCTTTATTTAGATTAACACATCATCAGGTAATTATATTGAGATTCAAGTAATCTTGGTATCAATCTATGTATTTTTGATAATATTAACTGAAATCAAACCTCCAGCTTAAGTGCTTACATAAAAAACATGCAAAACATTACAACATCTTCAAACTTTACTTAGTCTTCTAAATTTTAATCCTAGTGTAGGAAGTACTCACTGATGAAAAATAACTCAGGGGAAAAAATTAGTAGCAAAACACTATGATGAATCAAAAATGAAACATGAAATGTTTCAAGTTTTCACTTTTAATCTAAACTACTAGCCCATGCTGAAGTCCTTCAATTTCTTGAAAAGTATTTTAATTGCAGGATAGCATTTATTTCCAAGCAGTGATTATCAGAATGGACTCACTGTAAGAAGCAACTGCATCCACACAGGAAGAGCATAACAAAAGAGATCACTACTGGAAGCAAGCTGCATTGAGAGTATATCCACAGAGCAGATTATACTGTGTAAACATAACTATATTTGTAACATAGAAGATTCCCACATCTGGAAACCCACATGGATTCCCACATGGTTTTGAGTGTGTGGTTCTATACTAACATATTTCAAACCTCCTGGCCAAGATCATTTGGAGCTAATTTTATGTTAATGAGAGGGCAATTCACTACAGAAAGGAATTATGTATGTGAAGCAAATGAATGATCAATACAAAATTAACATTGGGAGGAAGATCATCTTGTCCTGCCTTTCTTTCATCCCTTTATTTCCCCCATCCCCATCCCCATCCCCATCCCCATCCCCATCCCCATCCCATTTATCTGCAGTCCATTGTCCCTCATCCAAATTTTTTTCTTCTTTTTTTTTATCTTTCAGGAAAATCATATGGCTTGTATTCATAGATTATCTTGATTATTACCAGAAGGGTAAGATTTAGAGCCTAAGGCATATGGGGAGGGAAATTAATATAATAACTTTGGAGTTAAAAAGTTTGGGAACTAGTGATCTTGTTTTTTTCCAGAGTGGCAGGCCTGCAGCCAAAGCAGACAGTGTAAAACATTTCTTTGTTCCTTCCTTTTTCTTTCTCACTCCTTCTCTTTCTCTTTTTCTCCCTTTGGATTTTTTGTAAGACATGCATGTAAAGATACAGAAAGTATTTAATAAACCTCTCCAAAAATTACGTTTTAAAATACTAAAGGCACACTGTTATTTTCTTTTGCCAAACTCAAGAGATGACTGGAGGCTTAAGGAAAAAATACACAGTGGAGAAGATAAATAGCCACCAGTCATCCACTCAGCAGCCAGGAATTTACATTGAAATGAAAGTGGAAAGGCTGCTGTTAAAATCAGGAAACAGAGTTTAGGGAAACACCGTTGGGAAGACATCTCACAGCAAAAAAGGCTGTGCATTTGCAACCAAATGAGCATTTGAACTCATGGAATTGCGTAATACAACGACTGTATTAGGATTCTGCAGAGTATATATTTGCACACATCAGAAAAAATCCAGTCACAACCAACTGTAACAATTCAGAGCCATGACTTGGAATCAGAAACACAGTCCCAGGGAGACACTCAATTCTATATCTCCCAAGCTTTCATTCCCCTCATTGTAAATAATTTACAACTCCTATACAGGATAAGTACTTCAAGACATTTTTTTAAAAACACAAGGACGTAAAATGAGTGTCATTCAAAATGCAGAAACAGCCCACTAGACAAGGGAAAATGAGGTATCAGGTCTGGTTTCCATTAAAAACTAGAAAACCTTTTAATTGTTCTGGCTAATTTTTAATAGGACACTGAGTCCTATTCATTTCCAAGGCTTTTTACCGTTAATGATCCAAAAAACTAATTCCTAGCCAGGAGTTTAGGAGCCTGCTAATGACCTTTACTGTTTATGTGTGGTTAGCTTTTCACACACTTGTGGCCCTCCTCTGACTGAAGATTTCTTGTTCCTTGCTGAATTCCTCCGTGACAGGAGTCTATAGAGAAAACCTTACTGCATGTGGTAGGAATGCAAACTTGCCATTTGCTGTGGATAGCCCTGCTGTGACTACAAGTTTTCAAGTTCAAATCTTTAGGCTTTCTTTCTACATCTGTACAGTAACAAAAACAGACTATCACTGAAAGCCCGTATCAGATTTTACCATGGGGAGAAAGCTAACATATCAGGATTATTTCTAATTATAGTAAATAATCAAAAAAATGACACACAGTAAATGTGCAAGCACTACAAAGTCAGAAGGATATTTAAGGACTCGTGCAGCTGGCACATCTATAAGCATGGAAATTTTGTTCCTTAGTCGGAAAGTGCTGCACTCAATAGTTCACATGATAATGTATTTGTTTGAAATAATTTACTTGGATGCCTAATTTGCTGACGTTTTTACTAGTGTGTGAGACTGCAACAGTCAATTCTGAGGTAACTGCTTTTTCCTGATAAAATGACTCCATTTTAAGAGAATACTGATCTTGTGAGACAAAGTTCAGATTTTCGATAGATCAGCCCAGGGAAGTTTTGTAAGTTTTAGTTATTCAATAAGTTATTGACAGCTTCTCAAACAGTTCTATTCTGCTTTGAAAAGGCAATCCTTGCCTTCTATCTCCACTCAATGTGGACCATCAGCTCCAAGGTCTCACTTTTCTGCATCACACCCAAGCATCATGTATTTGTCTATAAACAGTAATGGTCAGTGCAACTGTGAAATATTATTAATATGCTGCATACAAACCACACACATCATGTAATTGTGGAAAAGTTTCTTATAATTTCCAGACATGTTGAAAGCCCTAAGTTCTTTTGCACCACAGGAGTCAGTTTGGTGCCCATAACTTGTAAACTGATTTAAATTAATGTAATATGTCCACTATAGATTAACCCCAGCAGGTAACTAAGCACCACCCAGAGGCTTGCTTACTTCCCAGTGGGGAAGGGTAAGAGGACAGGAAGAGCAAAAAGAGTAAAAGAAGAATAAAAGCAATAAAACTTGTGGATCGAGATAAAAATTGTTTAATAAGCAAAGAGAGAGAAAGATAACAAAACAAGCAACGCAAAGGCAATCACTCAGCATCTCCCATGGGTAGACCAACACCCAGCCAAAAAATGGTTAACTTCTCTTTTCCCTTTTTATTACTGTGCATAAGATTATATGCATTGGCATGGAATGTCTTTTTGGTTAGTTTGGGTCATTGTCTCGATCCCAGCCTGCTGCACATCCCCAGACTACTCGCTGGGAGGGCAGACTGAGAACCACAGAAGGCCCTGATGC